CATTGATGACAATGGTACATGTATATGAATTGATCTTGACCATCAGAACCTGGAATATGAAAACACCTGTCTTTGTATAATATGATCCACTCGAATTGCCCTGGTCTCTCCCGAAATGATGGCTATATACTGACCGATTGACCGTTATACGTGTGAGAATGTAAGTTAATTGATTGAGATTAGCTACAGTAAATAAATCGTCTGTGATACAACATAATGGTCATCCATTTCATGTTTCTGATACAGATGCGCGTTATTTAGATTAAACTGGTATAGCCACATGTTGTAGGTGCTAAGTTAATGTAATTAATTAGTTGTTTATACCAGCCATACAAACAGGACCAACCAGAAAATCAATGGCACAAGATCCTGGTTCAGATAACTAATCTCTCCCTATAAAAGGAGGAAAGGCTAGCTAGGAAGTGGATTATGGTCATTAGTCAACATATATACGTGGGGGCTGGGTGTGGGGGCTGGGTGTGGGGGCTGGGTGCTCCCTGTCTAGCCTGTTATACCTGGGCTGGCTGTGGAGGCTGGGGGCTACCTGTCTAACCTGGTATACCTGGGCTGGCTGGGGGGGCTGGGGGCTACCGGGCTAACCCGTTATACCTGGGCTGGCGGGGGGGGCTGGGAGCTACCTGTCTAACCTGGTATACCTGGGCTGGCTGGGGGGGCTGGGGGCTACCGGGCTAACCCGTTATACCTGGGCTGGCGGTGGGGGCTGGGTGCTACATGTCTAACCTGTTATACCTGTGCTGTGGGGGCTGGGTGCTATCTGTCTAGGCTGTTATACCTGGGCTGGCTGTGGGGGCTGGGTGCTACCTGTCTAGCCTGTAATACCTGGGCTGTGGGGGCTGGGTGCTATCTGTCTAGCCTGTTATACCTGGGCTGTGGGGGCTGGGTGCTACCTGCCAAACATGACGTTGTTGGCGTTTAACCTGTGTATGATGACAGCGGTGTTGTACCAGTAGTTAAACATTTCTAATTATGTTTTAATATATATATAATGTGACCAAATTTCAGCCATGCTCTGTTTTCATTATCTTCATTCTACAACAAACTTACACATCACATATCCCGATACAAATCCTCTCGTATACACAATACTGTATACCAGGAAATCTTCGCCAAGTCAAACTTTCGTCCTTCGCCCATGAAATCAATTATCGCACATTGTTAATTTTAGCCGTCACATTCAATTAACTTTGTTTATGATGCTGTGAACTTAAATTTACTGTAACGATAAATTTGCTTTCATTATGGGGGGCAAAAAGGTGAAAATTAAACTACAGTGAAAATTTCCCCGGTATAAAGTAATCTGTTTGACAGCATATATCTTGCATCTTGTTTAGTTCAGTACCCATAGATATATAGCTTTTACAACCTAATTTCCTGATAAGTAATTTCTGTTCAGGTTTCTATGTACACTTAGTAAAACATTTACATGTTCTTGTGGAGTCTTTAGAATGTTGCTATAGTGTGAAAACAATTTTCTATAAAAAGTAGACACTGACCTTGACTTTGACACCACGAAACATGAAACAGTTCTAAGTATTTCCACACTTACATAGTACTGTACAAATGTATGATGCTTTATCAAATTCCATTGAGAAATTTAAGATCAGGGCTAATAATTACCTTGGAGTTGGCACCCTGAAGCTAGAACTAATTACTCAAATATTATGAAATTGTATGAAGTTCAATCAAAATCCATTAAGAAATGAAGCCTCCAGAATGATGGCAATCAATATGTGCCTTACCAGACAATATAATTTATTTATCCATGAACTTGACCTTTGACCTTGGATTATGAATGGCTTCATCCTCTTGTTATGCTTAGTCCTTCTTAAAAAGTTTGAATGAGATTAGTGAACAGTCTTTACAATATATCTAATACATTATTCTGCTTACAAAGTGTGCCTACCAGATATTGTAACTCTAGGCGATGACATTGAACTTTGACCTATGAACTTGTAGGATAAATATGCTTTTCATGGCCTTGCATCAAAAGAACATATTCGGCCACAATCCCCATGTTGGCTGAACAGTGACATTACTCTACCTTTAGTATTCAACCAATTCCAAAAGTTTACTTTTACAAATACTTTCATCAAAATACCTCATAATTTAATACTGATGTGTTTCTTTTTAGATTACAAAATTCCAACTTAGAAGAACCTCAAATAACAAGAACATAATTCAATTAAGGTATCTTTTAACAGCCTATATATAATACATTAGCTATACCCCTTGACAATTCAGGACTTACCTTAATCTGTTGTGTACACGGTCCAGAACTCGTTTAAATGTCTGTTATATGTTATACCCAATATTTCACTGGGACTGATGTTCTGCCTGACAACCTGACTCTGGCACAATGTAGTCTCCCTGAGCTGACAGTGGGAAAACTTCTAATGCAGGACACAAATTATGCTAATCCCATGTAGACATGCACACAAAATGCAAACATGGGAAATGTCAAACATTCGTGTCATCATGTTTATACCGAACCCAGCCTTCCCTGATTGGTTATACACTAAACTGTATAAGCCCTCCTGCATTTATTTTTTCGGTTTATGTTTCACACGTTTCAGATAAATACAACTTGAAAATAAGCTCTCTGTGAGGAAATACCGGACAACAATGGTAATAACCTGATACAAATACCAAGTCTGTACAGAAAGTATTTGTCTATAAAGGTTAGTGACCTTACATAAAGACAAGCTCTATAATGAAAATATCTAAAATTAAAGGGCAGCGACTTGAAATAAATATCAACTCTGTACAAGAAATTCTTGTCTATGAAAGGTAGCAACATGGTTAAAAGATAGTATCTACACAGGAAATATCGATCTATAAAATGTAGTGATCTGATATATAGACCAACTCTGTGCAAAAAACACCTGTCTTTAAGGGTCAGTGACCTGCTGTAAGGATCAACTGTGTACATTAAATACCTGTCTAATAGGGACAGTGACCTGATATAAAGGTCACTTCTGTAAAGAAAACATCTGTCTTTAAGGGTCAGTAACCTGATGTAAGAATCAACTGTGTACATTAAATACCTGTCTATATAAGGGCCAGTGACCTGATGTAAAGATCAACCGTGTACATTAAATACCTGTCTATATAAGGGCCAGTGTCCTGATGTAAAGATCAACTGTGTACATTAAATGCCTGTCTATATAAGGGCCAGTGACCTGATGTAAAGATCAATTGTGTACATTAAATACCTGTCTATATAAGGGCGAGTGACCTGATGTAAGGATCAACTGTGTACATTAAATAGCTGTCTATATAAGGGCCAGTGACCTGATGTAAAGATCAACCGTGTACATTAAATACCTGTCTATATAAGGGCCAGTGTCCTGATGTAAAGATCAACTGTGTACATTAAATGCCTGTCTATATAAGGGCCAGTGACCTGATGTAAAGATCAACTGTGTACATTAAATACCTGTCTAATAGGGACAGTGACCTGATATTTTTAAGGTCACTTCTGTAAAGAAAACATCTGTCTTTAAGGGTCAGTAACCTGATGTAAGGATCAACTGTGTACATTAAATACCTGTCTATATAAGAGCCAGTGATCTGATGTAAAGACCAACACTACAGAAAATACCTGTTTATAAGGAACAGTGACCTGATGTAAAGACCAACATTTGATTCCAGCATTTTGCATCCGTTTATTTTTAATCAAACCTCCCTCCCCCACCTACACCTTGCCTTGCATGCCTCTAAAGCCCCTTGGGTTTGGAACCATATACCAATTATTCAGAATTTTGGTTTGTCTTTAGCCATGTGTATTACATGCAAACTTTGTATAGGATTCTGCAGTGCAGCAAGAATGGCAACAAAGTCAATACAAACACTGCATGGTTGTGGGATGGTCTCAAGGTCGTGAAACCCCCAAGTAGCACTGGCAGCTCATGATTACTCAATACACCCACAAAAGGATTCTGCAGAGCTCAATGTCAGTATGTTTTTGAGATCACTACTTTCATCTCTGATTTTTTCTTGGACTGTGCCCAATACTGGTACCAGTGCAGTATTAGAATTAACTCATCAAAAAAACAAAAAAATGTATAAATCTCAACAAAAGAATCAATGTTAATTTAACAGTTAACACAACCTTTATCCGTGATGTAATGGTGTTTCGATATTCATCCTGAGACTCCTTCTGATTTAAGATAATACTTTTGGAACTCACTTTTGCTTCTACTATAGACATCACTGTAAAGATTTATCTTTGGCAATCAGGTTTTCACCTAACTTATTGTGTAGACAAATTGAACTGGATCCTGAAATTCCCATGATTTTATGACATGATATCTCAGATCTGTTTTCAACATGTACCAATATCTTCAGTTCTTCCCTTTAAAATGATGAATTTAACAATTTTACCAATTACCCAATATCAGAACACTGCTTCACAGTACTCAAAACAGATCAGCAAATCTTTTTAATCAATCAGACTTCAGTATATGAACTCTAAAATACATCGTAAGAATATTTGAGCCCTAATTTAACTGATGAATTGCCATCTAGAGGGTAAATAGAGGGTGCATGGGCTCTGATATCAACAATCAGGCCCTAAAGGATCAAATTGTGTGTTTCAGTTTAGCTTCCCCATCAACTTTGGCAACCTACCCTATAATTTTTAAACTTTAAAATATTCCACCACCTAATGATACTGAGTTTATAGGAGGTGAAATCAAAAACACAGGTTATTTTAGTCTGTACTGTAATATGTTTACCCCTCAAAATTTTCACCTCAGACCTTTTGTTCAATTTTGATTTACTAATGACTAATACTGAATACCTTACTTTGCAGCTTAAAAATATAACCCATTGGGTTTAAACCCCCCTATCTCACCCCAAGGTGATGGAAGATTCTATCAATCTCTTCTTAGCCTATACAGTTGTAAAACAGAAATTGCAGACACAATCAGGTCTGATTGGTTTTGGATTCCCTAAGGTTATATAAAATATAGCCTTACCTTCCTCAGTTTGTTCTTTCTCCTCATCCTTTCCTGCCTCCGTGACCCCTTCCTCCGTGACCCCTTCCTCTCCTTTGTCATCAGAGCTGTCCTCTTTCTGCTCCTCATCCTTGCTGTCAGCTTCCTTTACCTCCTCTTTCTGCGGTTCAGATACCCCAGTTTCTGATTGGTCAGCATCACCTTGTTCAGTAGAAGGTTCCTGTTCATTAGTTTTGTCATCTTTTTCAGAATTTTCCTGTTCATTTAATCCCTCTTGTTCACCCTTCTGTTCACTATTGCTTTCATCTTTTTCTTCTGTTAGTTCATTTTCATTTATTCCTTCTTTTTCACTGTTTTGTTCATCTTTCTTTGTATCTTCATTTTCTGTTTCTGCCTTTAAATCCTGATCGGCGGAATCAGTTCCGCCATCTTGTTTCTCCTTAACACATTCTCCGTCTTCCTGTTTGTCCACTTTAGATGCCTCCGACACTTCCCCCGAGCTTGGCGAAGTGTAATCATTTTCTGTGCTTTCCGATGCATCATTCTCCGGAGATTTGACTTCTGACCGGTCTTTGTTGACTGGACTTTGGACCCGCTGGACCTCCTCCCCCGTATTCACAGTATCATCTGTAGACGCCATTATTCTTCACACTTCCACAGTGCTGACAAAAACTCGGGTTAGGAACTTCAGATCTGAGGAAGACATTACGATCAATAAAATCATAAAACTCGATGACAGAATATTAAATCTATAATGTTCTTCACATAACATTGATTTACCTATTTTTTTATCTTATTTACGATATTGTTGTGTCGTAAAATGCACAGCAACTGGTTACAATAATTGTTTCCATATCAGCATTATGAAGTTCTTGTTGTTAAGATACTGGTTCATATTTTTAACTGCATTATAGAAAATATATACATGTGAAGATATTGTTTGAAATTGAGAAAATCAAATTGATTTATTAGGTTCACAGGAAATTAAAACCTACTTTTATTGTGAGAGTTTTCTATGCAACTTTTCGTTCATTACATTTGTGTAGATTTCTAGTCTGGAATTAATACTTGCACAAGTCATCCAGATCACTTTTACAATATATAAAATCATGTGGTCTTGATCACACAGGTGTTTGAATAGCGTCAGATTATCCAAATTGTCCTCAAGCAAACTTTATACAGATTTTTAACCTAAACCATCAACACCAGAAAGAATATAGCTGAGGTTATGTAAAGTTTATGTACTTCGTAACAATTTACAAAGGCACATTTTTAAACGCTTCTTTGTTTTCTTTAAAACATCATTTTGAAAAAAACACACAAAAAAACAGCAATTAAGAAAAGTTGAAATGCAAAGTAAACAAGAGGCCCATGAGCCTTAACGGTCACCTGAAATATTTATACAGAGAGTTGATTTTGTTTTTAACATGAACAGAAATATTATTCAAAGTGACAAAAAACAATAAAACCACCTTATTCAATATCTAGCATACAGATTTCAGACTAAAAAGTATTTGAAACTAGCACCTCTGATTCTAAACAAGGAAAATGAAGAAATTTTAGCACACTGACTCCTTTGAGCCCCACCCTACAGCCCCTGGGGGTAGGGCTGGCTCAAAATTTTCAAAGTATCAAACTGTCAACTCAAGGTTATAATTCCAATCAAGTTATTAACATGTAATATTCAAAGTATCATTTGCCATTATAAACCATAATAAATTTTGCCCCCCCCCTCCTTCCCCAGGGGGTAAACGTGAGACCCTAGGGTCATAAACCTTAAGACCCTTCCATCTATGAAGAGTATTTGATTCTACCATATCTGGGTCTTGAGAAGAAGATTTTTGAAATTTCAGTAAATTCGACCCTTTTTGGCCCCACCCATCAGCCCCTGGGGGTCAGTCAGGGCTGATATGTGCTTACTATCAAACTGCTACCTAATACTGATAATGCTAACCCAAATTGAATTACTTCCAATGGAAATTAAACAAATGTTGGTCCAAAATGTGATTTCCCTATATAAACTATAGTAAAGATTACCCCCTCTCCAGGGGGAAACGTGAGACCCAAGGGTCAAGAAATTCACAATTTCGGTAAAGCACCTTAAGGCCCTTCCATATATGAAGAGTATTTGATTCTACCATATCTGGGTCTTGAGAAGAAGATTTTTGAAATTTTAGTCAATTTGACCCCGCCCCTCAGGCCCCTGGGGGCTTGGGACTAAACCGGCCAAACTTTTTGTTGACCTTTGTCCATGGAAGGTCCCTGTAAAATTTCATTGAAATTGGTTCAGGGGTTTTGGAGAAGAAGTCGAAAATGTAAATTGTTTACGGACGCACGACGGACGACGACGCACAAAAGGCGATCGCAATAGGTCACTTGAGACTTTGTCTCAGGTGACCTAAAAATGAAAAATTGACGTTGTAGAAGAAACTTCGAAAATTTTATTTATTGATTAAAAATACTTTCTTTATCAATGATTTAATCAATAAACTAGACCGTAGCTAAGATATATCTATATGCTGACTGTGACAATAAATATATTGAATGACGACCTGCAACCTGTAGCAAAAATCGCATGCAATTTTTGATGAAATACCTGACCTTTTTACTTGAGAATCTCCGTGTAAATGTACAGCGTCTTATGTCATAAATGAAGTTTAAAATCTCTGTTATCATTTTCCAATCACATTTGCTGACAGAAACAATTTTAAAATGATCTTTCTGGTGCTTAAATCCGATTAATTAAAAGTTTCACCTTTTCTTACCTTTATTACCACCTGTACAGGTAAATACTGAAGCAACTTTAGAATCGAAAATGTTAATATAAACTAGAGACAATAACGAACAATTTGCCAATAACTTTTATTCACATATAACAAATATTTTTCAAGTTATGCGCATTTGAAAAATTAAGTAAATTAATTTATATTTCAATAATTAATTCAGCAGTGGCATCCCTTTACATAGAAATCAATGTAGCAGCCTAAGGGTTAAGTAGCTTTCTCCCTTACTTCTAGCAATGTATTTTTGAGTTGTATATGTATCTTTTAGTGCATTTTTCAGGGCAATAATGCAGAGTTTGTTGTTTAGGCACCTTGATTTGTAGATATATTGTTTTATTGTAAAGATGATCATATTATCCATTTTTCTGTTTATTCCATTCTGACGATAATTACCATAAAGAAAAGATTTCTTATTAAATTCAAATGGAATGAACAGTGAATTCAACAAATTTTCTAAGTTAACAAGTAAAATTTGAACTTTTTCACAGTTCCATAGCGTATGCTCTATCATTTCAATTTCTGTTTTACAAATGTCTACTAACCCAACTTTAAATAAATATGAATTTGTTGTTAGAATATGGTGATTAACCCTAAATTGGAACCATTGCAATTTTGTATTTTTTGTTACAGAAAAAGGGAGTTTAAAAAATAATTTTCCAATCACTTTCATCAAATTCAAATTGTTCATCCCATTTTTTTTGTTCCACTTGCAATTATATCATTTTTACTAAGCACATTATAAAAATCTTTAGTACCTTTCTGTTTTTTAGCAAAAATTTGTAATTTTCTTGGAATAAACAGATTGTCTATTTTTGGATGGGTCAAGTTACACCGACTGCAAAGCTCCTTTATAGCTGTAACAATTCTGTGATATTGTAAGAAATTTGCTCTAAAACCATTTATTTCTCTTAATTCAAACAAACTGAAGAAGTTGTTGTTATCCTTTTTTAAGTCATTAACTACTACAACTCCCTTCCTATACCAATCCTTATAAAAAACTATTACCCGGTATTATCTATTTTGATTTTTTCGTTAAACCATATAGGCATGTCAGAGATCTGTTTTGAATCTGTATATTTTTCCTCAAGAATAGTAAGATTTTTCCATGCAAGAAAGACATCTTTCAAGATTTTTTTTAGTTATTATGACAAAAGAAAATATAGTCTGATCCACAGTTTACAAGAAGGTTTTTATCAATAGTTGAATTAATTTGCCATGTTCCTGTTGTTGAGAGTAATCTTCTAATCCAAGTTGGTTTTAATGAGTCTATAAATGATTTAATAGGAATCATTTTGAGACCACCATCAGAAAAGTTTTTAATAATTATATCTCTTTTAATTTTATCAATCTTACTATTCCAGAGGAAGTTATATATTTCTGTATTTATCTTTTTGATAAATGTGGTAAAGCGATAAATAAGTGATTAAATTGAGAAATTAGGATAGACTTTATTATATATATTCTCCCTATTGGTGTAAGAATTCTCCTACTCCAAGTCTTCATCAAAGCTTTAGGTTTTACTAGTTTTTTATCAAAATTTATTTTTGGAATACGATGTAGGTCAACATGAAAATTAATGCCCAGAAGTGTAAACATTGTATGCCCCCACTATAAATTCCATTCATTAGCCATTACCTCATCACTATATTTTTTACTCCCTATCCAAACTACTTCGGTTTTTCCCGAATTCATTTTTAATCCAGATATTTTGTCATTTTTTCATATTTTTTTTATAGATTCTCTAAGCGATGTTTCTGATCCATCCAGAATTAAAGATGTGTCGTCTGCATATTGTGAAAGTAAAATAGGTTGTTCAGCTTCAAGAACTTTTAAGCCTTTGATATTCTTGTTATTTCTTATTTTGATTGACAAAATTTCCGAACAGAGGATAAAAATATAAGGTGATATCGGATCACCTTGTCGGCAACCCCTTTTTATATCAAAGAATTTTGACAGATTCCCCCCCTGATTAATTGCCGAATTAGAGTTTTTTTGAAAAGTTTTTACCCATTTTTTGATACTATGTCCAAAATTAAAGAAATCCAATACTTCATCAATACATTTCCAGGATACAGAATCAAAAGCTTTTTCAAAATCTATCAAGGTCAAGGTAATTTTAATGAGGAGAGTTTATAGCACTTCATCCCAGGTACCTACTGGCCAAATATCATGACCCTGAGCCTTATGGAATTTGAGAAGAAGATTGTTAAAGCCTTTGACCCATGTTGACCTCAACTTGCACTTAAAGTTGACCTTTGACCTCATTACTGTTATAGAGAAAAAGATTTACACTGCTGGTCTACATAACATACCCAGGAATCATGACTCTAGTCCAAATGGTTCTTGGGATATTGTTGTTTGAAGTTTTTAACAAATTTGACCCCAGTGACATTGAAAGTAGGTCAAGGTAATTTTAATGAGGAAAGTTAATAGCACTCCATCCCAGGTACCTCCTGGCCAAATATCATGACCCTGGGCCTAATGGTTTGTTTGTTTGTTTGTTTGTTTATGTTAAACGGCCCATCAACGGCTGTGGTCATTTAGGGCCATGGTGATTTATATATTTTCTTTATTTTTTTAACAAACATGTGAGTAGCTAAGATAAAGTCAGAAAAAAGGTTCATTTTAAAAGCATTCACATTGTATGTGTAGATAATTAAAATACAAGAGGCCCAAGAGGGCCTGTATCGCTCACCTGAATATTTAAGCAATCATAGCAAAATATTCTCATTAAATATTATATTGCACTAAAAATATTTCCCTCGCAAACTTTGTTGGCTCCATCTGTTGAAACTACCAGCAAAATATTATTATAAGATTCTATGCTTTTGATTCTTCTTCAGAAGTTGCTTGACATATTTTTTCCTGTGACCTTGTAAGTAGGTCAATGTCATTTTCCTTCTCAAATTGGTTAGCTCTATTCCAATAAGCTACCAGCCAAATCTAATGAATCCATTTCTTTTAGTTCTTAAGAACAAATCCTTAAAAATGTTGTTGACCTCTGTGACCTCTAAAGTAGTTTGAGGTCATTTTCATTCGCAAACTTTGGTGAGCTCTATCCCAGGAATCACCAGCCAAATATTATAAATTTATGCCTTTTAATTCTCCATCAGAAGTAGTTTGAACCATTTAACATATTTGATCGCTGTGACCTTGAAAGTAGGTCAAGGTCATTTTCATTCGCAAACTTTATTTGGCTCTTTCCCAGGAAATAACTAGCCAAATATTAAGGTTCTATACCTTCCAGTTCTTCAGAAGAAGTTGTTCTAAGCGTTAGACATATCTGACTCCTGTGACCTTGAAAGAAGGTCAAGGTCATTTTCATTATGAAACTTTGTTGGGCTCTTTCCTAGGAAGCTTCAATCCAAATATTAATGTTCTATACCTTCCAGTTCTTCAAAAGAAGTCGTTTGAAGTTTTTGACATATTTGCCTCATGTGACCTAAAAAGTAGGTCAAGGTCATTTTCATTCTCAAACTTTGTTGGGCTCTTTCCCAGGAAGCTACAAGCCAAATATTAGGGTTCCATACCTTCCAGTTCTTCAGAAGAAGTTGTTCTAAGCGTTAGACATATCTGACTCCTGTGACCTTGAAAGTGGGTCAAGGTCATTTTCATTCTCAAACTTTGTTGGGCTCTTTCCCAGGAAGTTACCAGCCAAATATTTAGGTTCTATAACTTTCGGTTCTTCAGAAGAAGTCGTTTTAAGAATTAAACATATCTGACTCCTGTGACCTTGAAAGTAGGTCAAGGTCATTTTCGTTTTCAAACTTTTTCAGGCTCTATCCCAGGAAGCCACCTGTCAAATATAAAGATTCTATAGCTTTCAGTTCTTCAAAAGAAGTCGTTTGAAGTGTTTGACACATTTGACCCCTGTGACCTTGAAACAAGGTCAAGGTCATTTTCATCATCAAATTTTGTTGGGCTCTATCCAAGGAAGCCACCAGCCAAATATAAAGATTCTATGCCTTTCAGTTCTTCAGAAGAAATCGTTTGAAGTGTTTGACACATTTGACCACTGTGACCTTTAAAGTAGGTCAAGGCCATTTTTATTCGCAAACTTTGTTCAGCTTATTCCATGGAAGCTACATACCAATTGTCATGTCTCTCAACCATTCAGTATTTCAGAAGGTCATTCATATGAACAAACTTGGTACCCCTTTATCCCAGCATGCAATGTCACTAGGCATTTCAATATTTCAGAAGAAGTCGTTTGAAGGTTTTGAGATACTTGACCTCTATGACCTTTAAAGTAGGTCAAGATCATTTTTATTCGCAAACTTTGTTTGGCTTTTACCAAGGAAGCTACCAGGTAATTCTCATATCTCTAGGCTTTTCTGTATTTCAGAAGATAAGTTGTTTGAAAATTTTGACATATTTCACCCCTGTGACCTTGAAAGTAGGTCAAGGCCATTTTTATTCGCAAACTTTGTTCGGCTTATTCCATGGAAGCTACCTACCAATTGTCATGTCTCTAAACCTTTCAAAAGAAGTTGTTTGAAGGTTTTTACATATTTGACCCCTGTGACCTTGAAAGTAGGTCAAATTCTGTTTTTTTTCACAAACTTTGTCGGGCTCCATATAAGGAAGCTACCAGCCAAATATCATGACTCTATGCCCTCTGGTTCTTCAGAAGAAGTTGTTTAAAGGAAAGTCGGCAGACGCCGGACAGATGGCGGACGTAAGCCATGGCATAAGCTCAGCTGCCCTTTGAGCAGGTGAGCTAAAAATGTCACCAACTCGTCATCACTTGATGCAGCTTTTCCAGGGTCACATTGTCAATTTTGTCACAATTTATTTTGCATGTCCCCTGGATGATGGCACAGTGCACTTGGTTCACCATTACAACTTATTTTTACAACAAGAAAGTGTGGGTGAACAATAATCAATTACTCCTATGTGATGTGGATAGAAAAAGGCTCAACTGTCAGGAATCACTGCAGTGACAGATATTCTTATAATCCATACCTGTAATAGTCCTAGTTCTGGTGTGTAGAAAGCGGCTTAGATACTGTAACACTACAAAGAATCTTGGTGAACGTATTACAGTATTAGAACGTCGGTTCCAAGTGAAAGTAAAATATACTTACATGTCTGCAATGCTACCTGTATCCCATGAACTAGTTTTAAAAAGTTATTTTATAATAATTTCACTTATATCACAAACTACTTGAACAACTGTAACTTCGACACATCCCAGCCCAGTTGTTTCTGTTGTCCCCGAGTCCTAATTAGTGACATGTCCGTCAATGTTCGGCACTGCTATTAAAATAACTGGCCCATTCTATCCATAGCGAATTACTGTGAGATTAAAGAGATTTAATAACACCTTATGAAGAACGTACACAGGAATGGATTTATAATGGACATTTGATATATAATACCTGTCCTGTGTACGCAGCTCGCTGAATGTGATTATATTACTCTCGCTGAATGGTTTAATCTTATTACTTACTAAATATATAAATACACATATTGTAACAAAAGTTAACATTATTAAAATTTACACATACCTAGCTGTTATGTATTTAATTCTTAATATATTACCTCTGATTACTCCAAGAGGTAACCTTATGAACATACAGGTTGACATTTGATCAGCTATAATAAAATGTATAATAGAGTGAAATGGTAAGGCACACCACCCAGATGTAGTAAAACCTCTCTAATATGACACCCTTGGGACACAACATATAGGTCAGATTAGACAAGAAATAAAGAATATACAGGTATTTTTTTTTTAGTTTTCAAAAGCAATGGACTGATCAGGAACATTCATCTGTTTTAAGTCTCTGTTATCATTTTTCTATCCTGTCAACCTATTTTAAATAACTTAAACTTGAAAAAATGTCTATTCAGACCACTTTTTAACAAATTCAATAGGTTCTGCAGTGTTATTTTCAAATTAGTAAGTTCATATATAAGATCCAATATGACATGTTTGATCTATACAGTGAGTTGGATTACTCAGGTGTCTGATTACCATTAGACAGGATTTTATAACACTGTAAAAGATGTGCATTGATTTGGTTGCCTTACAAGCATCAACATCATCAGCCGTAGGAAATTTCCCTTCAGCTCAGTGGTAGAGCATCGGAATGGAGAGCCAATGGTTGTGGGTTCAAGCCCTAGCAACGGTACTTTTTCTTTATCACTATTTCTCGTCCTACTTCAAACCCGTGCCGTTGACCCTCCCCGTTCAATGTAGGAGAACCCTTAGCGAGGAGTCAAAGAACCTGGGTTGGTGATCGAAAAAAGGGGGGAATAATGTAAAAGATGTGCATTGATTAGGTTGCCTTACAAGCATCAGCTGTAGGGAATTTCCCTTTATCTAAGCGGTAGAGCATCGGACTGGAGAGCCAAGGGTCGTGGGTTCGAGCCCCAGCGATGGTACGTTCTTAAAATCACTAATTCCTTGTCCTATTACAATACTCTTAGGAATTACATTAGACAGGATGTTAAAATATTCAGAAAGTGAATCACGACAAATTTCACTGTAGGTTTCACTGTAGGTTTAGGTTTCACTGTATTCATGTGTATGTATCTGCAGTGTTATCATTATTGTCTACAGATATACAGGTTACATCCCAGATAGATATTTATATGGGGCTGTTAATAGGAGATCCAAGGTAACGAAGCTGCCGTCATTACCCTAATTATATGGAATGGGAATCAGTGACCTCATAAAGGACTAAAGCCACATGGTTATTGCCATATACCTATACCTATAGCTACAGTATGGTGACCTGTACTAGCCTAAGGGGCCCCTAGAAGGGGAAAAAACTTAAAAGGAAGGTTCCTTTGCCTGTAAATTGTCCCTATGACATCTGTTTCATTAAGATCAAATATCTTACTAGAATGGAACGACTTTGACTTGTAACCTGCATTAATGGGCACTTGCAGCTAAGCCTAGAATTTTGTCACAAGTTTATGTTTGCCGTTTGACCTCTGATCATGGCATTTTCATCATACACAAAAAGCAAACTAGCATCAAATCAAACTTTGTACATGTACCAGGTAATAATGTTATGCATTGCTTACCATTAAACTAGAAAATGTCTGTAAGACATGAATGCCCCCGCCGCCATGTGAATTTAGTTTCAGTGTTTGATGTTCTATAAATAGTTACAACCACTTTGATCTTGATACCCTGAAATAAGTTGGCCTAAACACAAAAATGATGTCTGAGGTATACGTATTCTATGTATAAACTTTCATCAAAATGATGACACTGAATCGGTTTGTGATTTTCTATATATAGCAATCGTGACCTTGGCCTTGACCTTGGAACCTTTAAACACAATGATGTCCGAGTGATACTCATACTTGACCTTTGTATAAAGCTTGACGAAAATCTGTGAAAGAATGAAGTTGCTTAGTGTTTACAATGAATCAGGACGGGACGGGATGGGACAGACATGGGCAACACTATATATGCCCCCCCCCCCCCCTCATTTTAAGTTGGGGGCATACAAATGTATGTGTTTGACCTTTGTAAACTTAACTTAATTTTACCATAAGAAAATATTAAATGTTACGGTTTGACCTTGACCTAATACACCAAAGGAACAAATAGCGTCAATTCCAACAATGTTATATAATGCATCATGTATAGTAACAATTTTGTAATGTTAACTATTAAACAAAATATTAAATTTGAGCTTCCTGACCTTGACCTTTCCCCATGAACTTGACTTTACACATGTAAGGGAAATGACAACAAGAGGCCTAATGGGCTTGCATCACTCACCTGGTATTAATCTCACAATTGTAACTTTAAAAGAGGACAAAAATAAAGCTACAGACAAAATATAAGTGTCTTGACTTAAAGTCATTCAGAAGAACCAGTTAAAGGGTTAAAACACATTTGACCTCTGTGACCTTGAAAGTCAAACATGGACATTAAGTTGAACAAACTTGGTAGCCCTTTATCCCAGAATGCAACTTGCCAAATATCACCACCTTATACCTTTTGTTTATTGAGAAGATGACTTTTAAAGATTTATGCACTATGGACCAGATGTGACCATGAAAGTGTGTCAAGGTCATTCACATCTACAAGCAATCACCATGTACACTTTAGTTATTCATCAGAAGTCGTTTAAAGATTTTAACATTTTTGACCCCTGTGACCTTGAATATGGGCAAAGGTCATTCATTTAAACAGACTTGATAACCCTTCATCCCAACATCCTTCTGACCAAATATCATCACCCTGAAGCTTTTGGTTATACAAAAAAAGTCGTTTAAAGGTTTTCATGACATTTGATTCTGTGACCTTGAATATGAGTGAAGGTCATTCATTTGAACAAACTTTGTAGCCCTTCACCACCCCCCACCCCCATGCTACTGGACAAATATCATCACCTTGGACCTTTTGGTAATTCAGAAGAAGTCGTTAAAAGGTTTTTAAGACAATTGACCCCTGTGACTTGGAAAATGGGCGAAGGTCATTCATTTGAACAAACTAGTAAGCTCTTTATCCAAGCATTCTTCAGTTCTGACCAAATATCATCACCCTGGACCTTTTGGTTATTCAGAAGAAGTTTTTTTTAAATATTTCAACATATTTGACCCGTGATATTGAATATGTGTGTCAGGTCATTCATTTGAACAAACTTGTTAGCCCTTTATTCCTGCGTGCTAAGAGGTCACTGAATTACATGCAGTGCACTGTTCACCCGCTGTGGATGATGATGAAGAGGAGGAATTGGAGAAAGGGTTAGTGACTACGAAGAGACAAGAAGAAGAAAAATAAGAAGAACCAATGCTAATACAATATATTGTTTGTCTGTATGTCATTTTTATTTACGACAATAAAATCTGGAAAACAGCCTGGCGCCTCCCGAATATAAGGTTTATCAAACAATGGCTTTATAATCAATAGGTAGACAACAGATTCCGTAGTCATATTAAAGGTATACAAGGTTGTAAAATTCCAGATGTTTCAGTGTTTGCCAGCTGGGGGCTGACTCTGGTGCCAGTACACTTGGACCAAGTAGTCTATACCACTACAACCTACTATGTGCATGTTATACGATATTGATCTACCATGTCAAATATCTTCATTCATTACACTTTCTTTTTTTTTGTTCTGTAGGAAATTAATCACATACACCATAAACTATGTAATCATCGTGTAAATGCACATGATCTTCCTTTGCAGGAAATTGGATTTTATACGATGCAGATACATGTATTATATTAAACTTACATACCTCTTTGTTTATTTTATGTATCTAATTATTATACAGTACATCTATAATTCAGTAGACAGTCCTGCTGCACTTCAGTGGGTCTTGAAATTAAGCTTTGAATAAGTTATTAATGTAAAGAATTTCTGTTAAATTTTATAATTATCAAATCTACACACTTTTTAATTGTTAAAAGTTGAATTCTTATACCCTGATAATATTGAAGAAATTTACCAAAATACATTTCAAAAGAGTTAAAATACTTGGAAGTTTTAAAAACAAATCGAGATATTAAGATGCCTACCTTTGCCAGAGCAGTTGTTAAAAAGCAAGCAATGTGACGAAGGGTGACCAGCAGACTGTTCAATACATATGACCATGGCACACATGTCTGTAGCAGACCCTAATAAACCCTACATGCCAATTCTGATCCTTAATTAGCTGTCTATATTCACAATCTTCACATATATATGACAAACATGACTAATTAGTTACATTATACCATTCTCGCGTCACCAGCTTAATGTAGACATGGTTACCTCAATGAAATGCCTTGTATCTATGTAGTTTATCCAATACTGTTGAAGGCCGTCACATCTCCATGGTAACCAATTCAATATGACTTACGTATACCGTATACCGCTACACCAGATGTCAACATAAGACACTGACCTTTCAAATTCCTTAACAGATGTAAGTTGGACATGGTAATTGAGGTTGTAATTCACAGTTCTTGTCTTCCGATAATTAAGTCATTCATTTGACGAGCTTAAACCCGAGTCTTAATATAAAATGCCCCTTGCACACAACATCACAGGGTATCCATTAGGGTCAGATCTACAGTTGTTGATCATTGTTGATTGAGGCATACTGTCACAATCTGGCTATAGCTTGTCCAAATTTGACAATATTGATAACCTGCTGTTTCATGCAACCACACATATTCTTCACTTACAATAGAAATGATACTACATGTACCAGCTGCACTGAAAAAACGTATTTTTCCCTTTCTTATGGTATTTCTGTTGAATTTTGCAGACTAAAAGTTTTATAATACCTTATGAACACA